GTGCCGCCCCAGTTATCGGACAATAGATGTTTTATGTTGGGATATGAGATTTTGGTCATATTGCACAGCCCTAATGTTAATCTAACAAAAGTTTTAATGTTATTAATCTGTACTGCCCCACAATGCTGTAAACAGTGACCCTGCCACTAATGACAGATGCATCAATGTTGAAAGGCTTATTAGCTATCACCTTTGATAATGAATACCTTGTCTACTTCACCTCTTAAAGAATCCACCAATCCAGATCAAAAATCCAGAGAAAAGTAATAAAGTCTCAAGAAGATATAACATCTGTAAAGCAAAGCTCTGCCTTGGACTTGCTGTTTATAGTGATTGGAATAGCCTACAACAGAATGTGCACTGTATGGAAAAGAACTTGATATGGAAAAGATATGGAGAAGTCCATATCTTTGTTTTTTGTTTTTTTAAGAGCCGATCTAAATAGTTTCAAATAGAAAAATTATGCACAGTGTTCAGTGTTGGTGAACATATCCAAACAATACTGGTCATGTGACTAAAATGGTTTGTCGTTAGTTTTGAACACAAATGTTCTCCTTTGCACTACCACTGCAAAAAACATGTCACTGGGCAGGGAGGAAATTTTGTAATGTTTTTAAAAAAGAAAAACACATGGTATTTACACTTTTTTTTTAGTTTTACTTCGAGTTTCCACTGAAAAGTACGTCTTTCTATCATAGAAAAAAAATTATGCCAAATGAGCATTTCCTTTAAATAAAATATTAATCATCACGAGATATATAGTCTTATAATTATAATTAGATGCTTTTTAGACAATGAACTCTCCTTACATATAATGCACCCAAACTCACCAGCAAAAAGGCTGAAAGTCTGTGAACTTGGCCCATCCCTTCTCCTCGGCCTCTGTTGCAGCTGGCTGAGACACTGGAGCGTCCCAGGCTGAGAAGCCCGCTCCTGCTGCAGGAGCCTTTGAATTCACTTCTCCAAAGTCTGCTACCCATCCAGTGCCTGAAAAAAAAAAAAAACAAGAGCATACATACATGACATGTGACACTTAAAACCTGCTTTAGACCTAAAATACAACCACGGCAAAACAATTATACATGATTACACGATATATTATATCTCACTCGTTGTTGCCTCGGTCTGGTCCGGACTTGCAAAAGGGTCCAGATCATATTTAGGGTCTTCTCCCTCGTCAGAGTCTGAGTCTGCTGCTCTGCTGGAGCTCTCACAAGTTTCTGTCATGTCACAGGTCTTACTGGTTGCTTGGCTTTGGGAGGACTGTGACCCACCAAACCTTGAAACATATGAAATTTGCACGGAATACAAAACCATCATTTTGAAGCAAAAATAATGATAATAATAAAGATGTTGAGAGCATCTTTATTTAAAGCCATGTAGTTACCTGTTCCGGGACTTGGCTTGTGTTGCATAGTTAATCTCCTTCTCCTCCCAGATGTCCTCCTCCTCATCATCAAAGGGCTGAATCCTCTCTTTGGAACAAGCCTCAAATACAGCTGTGTTAGCCTGCACAAAAAACAAACAAAATAATTAGCTGTCAGGTTTGTTTTCTGAGCTTCAGTGCCTAAAAACAAAAAACAATGTATAGTTAAGAATGAACAAAAATATTTACAGCCTAAGGAAAGAAAGAAAACCCCTTTAAAATCAACTTACACTGTCATGGCCAGCATCAATATTGATATTAATCTCTGCAATCCGATCAAAAGTTGCCCTGCAAAAAGAACCAGGATTCACACCCTCAGCACACACGAGTGAAATAAGAATAAACCATCACTTGAGAAAAATGTCAGCTAATTTACCCAATGCTGTCATCATGATCAGTGAACTCCTCATCATTAAAGCCAAACTGATCCACAAAGTTAGCTGTCATCTGCTGGATCTGGTAGTCTGAAAAGGCCTAAAAACAGATCATAACAAATATAATTACAGCACAAAAGCCCATAAGAGAAGCAAGAAATATTTTAAATAGGAGCTTATGTGTGTGTGCGCATACCTGCTGTATTGTCAGTTCTTTGGGGAAGGGGCTCTCCATATCATCCTCTGAGGAAGGACGAGGGTTGCCAGTGCCAACCTTAACATGGAAAGATCAACACTTGTGCAGTGCTTAAAACTCTGAATGTGTGTGTAATGAAAAACAGGTTCTTAATTCTACAGATGTGCACGAATTAGGATTTACCAGGTCTATGGTGTTCTTTCTGTTGGTCTCAGACAGCGTTTGATCTACAAAGGTTTCCCAGCGCCCTCTGTAGTCCTCTGGCAGCTCTACATGCAAACACACAACAGCAGCATTATGAAAGCCATAAGCCAGTTTGGTGTGATTCGTGGTAGTTACTGCTTTCTTCCACACAGAAATGAGTCCATGTGTCCACAAACACATACACACCTGCAATGAGGCTACTGATCTGGGTGTGAACCGGGCCTTTCTCCAGATTGTGCACCACTGTGTTGGCGATCCTGGTCAGATGCCCCATGTAGCCTCGTCGCATACCACGATCTGACCTGAACAAATAGATATGACACTTGGAGAAACCCAGAGATTACCGCCAATTGCCACAAATTCATGTAAAGATCTCAAAGTTACTTACTGAATTTTATCATTTCCTTCCCAAGCCTCTAGAATCCTTTGGACGAGGTGGCAGTGCTGAAACAACTTGGGAAACAAAAACATTGAGTCAATCAGTTATTTATTTATTCCGAAAGAGATGCCACATTGCCCATTCTTGTAGATCAACCCTTCTACTTCACAAATACAAGCAGAGACACTCACATGAGTCACCATTAGGTTATGAGCAGAGTTTTCAGATCTGTCTGATAGTTCAGAAGTCGGGGTCTCGTTCAACTCCTGTTCTGGTGCTGCATCTGGATGAGGCTTGACTTTTTCCTGGGTAACCAAGCCAGGCTGAAGTCTCATTTCGTGGGCACAGGGCCGGACGATAGCAGCAACACAAAGCTCCACTTGGAGATGCAGAAAGTTGTTCCAGGTGTACTTGAAGAACAGGTCCTGTATTTTTCAAAGGGGTATTTAACACGTAATGTTTTCTCAACATAAATAAATTGTCAAAAGTGCAGCAGATTTTCTCACCAGAAGGAGGTTCAGTGTATTGAGTCTGCAGAGTTCCTGTGCTACGACTGCGTGGCTAGCAGAGCTGGTATAAAGCAGAGAAGCCACTAGTCTGGCTACGTGCAGACGCGTGTTCCCCAGCGGTTCCTCCAGCACACCCAAAGTCGTCAGCATAGGCTCTCGCTACATGGATAAAAGGCAGAGGAATTTGGGGAAACACGATCTAGAGGTTTTTGTTTTGTTATACAGGTCTGACTACTGTACAACAACGGCATGTAAACAGCAGAGACTCAAACATACCTGATAAAGAAAGAGGCTGGTGGAGCAAGCAAAAGAAAGCCTGCGTCATGCAGCATGACTTGAGCTAAAAGAGCTTGCACTTTTATACTGGGCAATTTCATCATTTTTGAAACTGAGCACTAACACCTTGATGAAATACACAGGGGATTCCTGATTTTCCATACAAAATGGAATGTATGTGGACAGACTGAATTTATTGATACCTGATTTCCTAAAAGCCCGTTCTCACCTAGGGAAACGCTCAAACAACAATCTTAAATACCCTCAAGCGGCTACATTATCATTCATCATAGAAAGACTTGTTTATGTACCTTGGGTGGCTCCAGAAGTAGCTGGTGGAAGTGTATCAAGTGTGGCTGGATGGCCAACAAAATACTGCTGTTAACAGTGTAGCTTCTCTCAAATCCCTGAGCATCCATTACACCATCCACCCTGCCATAAAGACAGAGGAACAAAAACAGAAATCTCAAAATAGATGTTGGGAAGGCTTAATAAATAGGGATATAAAATAAACTTTAACAAATGTTTAAAAAGAGATTAAAATGCCCAAATTTTAAATGAGAAGGCTTGTCAGAGAGCTTTGTAAAGAGAAACTTAGCTGGAATAGCTTCACACTGTTAGAAATTGTTCGAGGTTTCTCACTTACACAGGCCTCCTGATCTCCAGTAAGGTCAGAAGAACCTGAATCCCGTTGACGATACAGCTCTCAGTTCTCTCTCCTGAGAACATATTCTGCAATAACTGCTCCACGCACTCCTGCCTGTATAAACAAAACGGAGTACATCAGTATCGCTGCATCCTGTTTAGAGAGCATGAACTTGCGTGCATGTGAGTCTTTCCAACTTACGATTCAAGCACAGTCAGCAGTGGGTCAGGCTGTGAAATCTCTTGGAGCTGGCTGGCCTGGTCTCTGCTCAGACGAATGATATCACACAAAGTCTGCGATGCATTTGACTGCCTCTGTGTTGGCGAAAAATCAAACAAACAACAATCACATCTGGACACTCAGTCTTATGAATGGTTTCGTTGTGAATAAAAGCAATGGCACACTTTTTAAAAGCAAAATAAAATATTTGTTAAATTTAAAAACTATGAAATTCTCCACTACCTCTTCATCCCTCTCAGGGTGAATGAGCTCTATGAGTCTCTGGGCCAGTTTTTGTTCATTCAGCCACTGTTGAGAAAAATATTGCTTTACAACTAGACAAAAAAAATAATAATTAAAAAAAATAAATTAAAAAAAATTAGATTTATGTGAAATTCTGAATGTGGGTCTATTTGTCTCGTACAGTAAGTGTCTCCAGTCGTAGAGGCGGTGGCTCCACACAGCTGATAAGGCGTAGGAGCACATCCATCATGGCTGACGTGTCAATATGCTTCAGGACCAAGGAAAGAAATCCATCCTTCTTCTGCAGGAAACTAATCACCTAAACAATACAGAAAGCAGAGAAAATAATGATTATACAAAACAGGAAACTGAAGAATGGGATAAGGAGCTTGCTGTCAAACAAGTGGTATTATTTCTCAAGACTGACTCGCGCTGCATAAATGTGACACTATTTCCCAAAAAATATACTGCTATTTGAGCAATACAACTTGAAATGCAATAAAATCTAACACTGTGGGTGACACCGTAGTACAAAGACAGATAAACCATTATATACACACACACACACACACACACAAATGATTACATAACAAATGTTTCTATTACGCCATCTTCCCTGTGCAATATTTGTTTAACTTCAAGGCTGGGATGAGACGAGAAAATAACAACGTTTTACAATTTGGAAAGAGAGGCACCTCAGTTTAAACTATATCTATTTAATTTGTGTTATATACTGGAATATTTATATTTGAGCTATTTATATATATATTACAGCCTTATTATTATTTTTTGTAACTTTGTAATATATTGTCCATCCATCCATCCATCCATTCGCTACCGCTTATCCTTTTCAGGGTCGCGGGGGGTGCTGGTGCCAATCCCAGCTGTCATAGGGCGAGAGGCGGGGTACACCCTGGACAGGTCGCCAGTCTGTCGCAGGGCCAACACACAAGGACAGACAACCATTCGCACTCACATTCACTCGCACACTCACACCTAGTGGCAATTTGGATTATCCAATTAACCTATCCCCACAAACTGCATGTCTTTGGACATATATTGTAATGTTTAATTAAATTTGTTACTGTTCTGAATGCATTGGAGCAACTATAACCACATAATTTCAAATATTCTGATTCAGATTCAGTTCAATTATGATTCAATTCATCATGAGCAACTGTTCAGGTTGTACTCCGTTTCACCCGGTGACAGCTGGGTTAGCCCCCTGCCCCAGTGACTGTCCCTTATGGTCATGAGATAGGTGAGATAGTTGCCTTACTTAAAGTCTTAAAAAGCTACTCTAAAAAATCTGAAACCCCACATCAGAATCAAATGAGCTTCTATTCACACACACAAATATATACAGAGTTCAGAGCAAATGAAATGTAGAGGTAATAAGCTTTCTTTACGTTTTAGTTGGCTTAATACAAGCAGGAATGTTAGCCTTAAATGGAAGACAATATAAGCTGCAGTCCAGCCATTCATTTTTGAGTTAAGTTGTTTTGGACAATAATGGTTCACTAAAATAATTCCCTTCTGATACGGGACAGTTTTGATTATGTGTTGTTTCATAAACAAGCAATCTTACACTAAAATCATCAACTCGGACACTAAAAGGGTAAAACAAACCATGCATGTTGGCACCTCAAAAGAAACAGAATTTTAAAACAATTTTGGGTGAAAGTACATTTTTTGTGAGTATTTTCCATTAACTTGCCTCAGACTTATTAAATGAAAACAACATCACAAAAATGTAACCGTCATCTTTATTAAGCATGCCCTTTTGATGTAGCGGTGCACGTGTGTGTTACCTGTTCAGTCTTTCGTGTGATGAGGTTCCCAATAGTTTTGCTAAAGAAGGATGCCAGGAGGGGGTTAAGTGGGGATGGCTGCTCCAGGAAGGCATACAGGCTTTCCAGGAGTGGCTCCTCATTACCCAGCTTATCATTGATCACTCCCACATCACTTGTCAGCAGCTCACATGCTATATTTGGATACCTGTTGTAAATGGCATGGACATATATTGCAGTAAAATGATGGAGGAACAAAATTATTGCTATATTTTCCACTTCAAAGAAAAACAAAACAAGATAAAATTATCTGGACAGGACTTTCATTGGTTTGCTCGCAACCGGGCAATTAAATAGTTTTGCTAATTTAGGGGAATCATTTCTGTTCTTTTAGTCGGATTAAAAACATTGTTTAAGCAAATCTGAATCCTCTTAAAATCCAGGCTCATCTACAAAGTGGCTGGTAACGGATATAATGTAGTACAGCACCAGGAATATATTTTTACCCTGAATATAATAAACTACATTAGAATATTCTACACAACAGCACCTACTTGAAGCGCTTTGTCTCCTCTACACCAGTAGGAGGCTCTGTAGTAATCAGTCGAACCAGCTCCTGCATGCTCTGGTCTTGGCACAAGAACACAAGAAGCCTGCAAAACCACAACGGTGACATAAGAAGCACAACTTATTAATTTAGTAAGCATTACAGCAAAGGTGATTGATTATGCGAAATGTGGTAATAATTTGCAGCTACACCAAAGTAGACATTAAACAGACCTCCTGTTTTGGGCCTTGCACTCCTGCAGCACATCCTCCTCATCCATGAGCTCAGCGAGAGTGACATCCTCCTTGTCCAGTAAAGCCTCCAGATGAGAAGATGTGTGTAAATCAAACTTCCAAAACATGACTGACGTCACCGTAGCATACACTCTGCTGTTGAGCAAAAGAGGATGTGGTGCGGAGATAAGCAACAGGATGGTGTAGAATGCATGCAAAAGTTAATTTTTGATTTAGTTTAATTTATTTATGAATGCTTACATTTGGACAAGGAGAAGTATACTCAGTTGGATCTTGCTAAAGAGCCATTTGCCTCACAGACACTGTGCAACCTGTACATCAGAGACAATATTCATTTGAGTATAGCGAAGGTGGAAACACACCCACTTTACTCATTCTAAACACCAGACACACCAACCCAGCAGAGTTGCCTTCAACCCAAAAAAGGGAAGCAGCAAAATGAACAACAAATGTTGGAGAATCATTTACAGTAATATTGCCTCTGCCTTCTTCAGAGCTAGATGAAGGGCTGAACTCGGGCTAAGAGGCTTGGACTCCTCTCTGGAAAGAACAGGAAGCAATGCATCTGTAATTGAGTTACTGCTGCTCATTCGTGTATTAACATTAACCACTTTGCTTAGGGAAGGCACTCACACATGCACTTGTATCAGCAAAGAATGACTGGAAATAAGAAAGATGCACACACTGACCCTTCGGTGACAGAAATGCCTGAGTATGGGAGGTTTCTGGGAGCTAGCAAACTTGAGTCTAGGTGTGGTGGTGATGACAGCTGAATATTGTAAGAGGCAGGAAATGTTGCTTGCTTTGTTAAGGCTTTAAATATTCACCTAAAGCCACCCCACCCCGCAAACTAAACCAAATCAGACCACACTTTGTACGAAGCATCCATCATGAGTCCATTATCTCTTAGATGCAAACACATGTTTACAAACAAACTCTCGTCAACGCGAGAAAACAAGAGGGTAGCGTATCGTTTTACAGCACAAAATATGGCTGGAAATAACTTACACATATCTAGAGACCATTAAAAGTAGTTGCATAACATTGAACGGTGTCGGAGTACGCCACCCTTGTGTACACATCCCTTGAACAAACACGCAGGGGATAAACAGGTGTCTCGGGAATCTGGGTTTACAGATTCGTCATTGCCATCTGTGGATTTTAAAATTTAATACAACAGCATAACTGTGACAGGCCTGCCAAGGCGTCCTAAGAGCAGCTGTAAACGGTTACTCTGAGCTGTTAGCGGATTTTAGTTATAACAGGGTAACAGTCAAGTCAGCGTGGAGCAGTGTTAGATAGCGAATCCGTGCATTTAACTCCACGTTAACTTATCTCCTTTATCACTGTCTCCCTTAACCACTTTCACTTACCTTGACTGCAGATCGTAAAGCAGCCCGCTAGCAAAGCAAGCAGTGCCACAGTCGAGTTGCTAACAACCCCCCCCCAAAAAAATAAAAATAAATAAAAATTATTTCTTACTGGAGACAAACCACATTCAGATTAAAGCTAATATAGGTCAGTATTTATCGCCGCTGATGAGCTAGGTGGTCGGACGACGTGCTCCTGATTCAGACCTAGCTTGAAGTCACCGTCTTCTGATCGCTTGCACAGGCTTTACGTTGGGCTACACATGTTTACCTCCCAAAAAGACATACCACCGTTACCTTTGAGCCATTGTTTAATCTGTGGACATCTGGAAGCTGAACTGCAACTCGGCGACTTTGGTTGTCAGGTCACTCGGAGGCCCATCGCAGCCTATTCAGGGCTGCGCTGTTAGCTTAACGATACTACCCTTTCCACCGGCTGCAATGTCATTTACACAGCCGTGTTACTCAGCGGCTAGCTCTGCTGCTGCTGGGAGGGCTGTGTTGACACGGTGTAAATTATTATTCAGGAGTCCAAAGGACCAAATGGGGAAAAAAATACATAAAAATAGTCAGGTTTGGAAATCAAAATGGCGACTACCTAAAACCTAAACGTAATCAAAAAGTTCGGCTGTCCATCAACTGTGTAAACATCCAGTAAGTCCATATTTATCTGCTGTCATCAAGCACTGCAGCAACATTTAACATTCACATCCATGCTCTCAAACATTTTTTTTTCTTTATGAAAATAAACACTTTAAGTTTAAAACTGGGGTGAAGAATGCAATAATGCATACATGAGCATTTATTTAATATTGCAGGAAAATTATTTAGTTGTGCACGTAAAGTAAGCGACAAGTGCAGGGACTGTCTTTATGTTTCCGGCTTGATTTTTTTTACGAAAACTCACACCTGAACATGTCCCTGTTCTACCTGCACATGAATTCCCACTGTGTAGGGTTACGGGTCTGAATATTCATTAATTATATTTTGTCTTAAGCTGCACCGTGGAGCTGTATCACAGGGTGGAGTCACTTGTTTCAGTATGCTTGTTTCAGTTTAGGTTTTATTGCTGAAAAATGTTTAGTTTTGCTTTAGTTTATTATGAATAAACGAGTTACTCTCATACAAGCTTTCTTTATTCTGCTGTTAAGGCAATTTAAAAGCCACGGTTGAGGAAATATGCTGCACACCAATCTGTCTAGTAACTCAGTTTCTTTTATATTTATCATACCATTGCATGGACTGGTTTATGTGTGCATATAGAATGAGATAAATATACAGCAGAAAGGAGAGGGATAGTCTGCATTGTGTCAAATGCAAGAGTACTTGGTCAGCATGTGTTTCCTTCTTGTGTTGTGCAGGTAGTCATTCCTGTGCCAAAGCTCATGTTTTCGGTTCCTTTGTGCAGTATGCTCCATAAGTTCTTTTTGCTTGTGGTTTCTTGTATAAATAGTCTGGACTTTCGTTGTTTGTTTACTGGCTTCTTTTTTAAAAGAAGAAGAAGAAAACGTTATCAGGCTTAGAGCCACTTGTAGTTATTAAGATTTAAGTCTAGTAAAAGCAGAAGAAAATGCATGAAAGGATGGAAAATCTTCACACTGACTGATATTTGATCCGTGATCTTGTTAAAATTACATTTATGTTGTGTCAGCCTAACAGCTATTAAGCATAGGCTCAGCTTAAATAAAGACTGCAGGGCTTAGAGCTTTTGAGCGTGGTGGTATTATGGTACACTCAAAGTTCTAAAAGAAAATAACCATAACATATAATAAGTCCGGAAAATGTATCTTCTGGGACATATTTTTAACCAGATTACCAATGTGGAAAGTGTGACTTTCATGCTTTAAACAATGTTTTGTAACAGATTAACACAGTCCCTAATGTATTTTCTAACACTAAATACAATAAAGGTTTTTTTTTTTTTGTAAACACACACAAAATGGGTCATTAATTACACGTATATCATACAAATTAAACGAAAATGTATTTGTTTTGGAATAATAAGTATGTGCCATGTTTCAGCATCTTTTTGTCATGGGGTGTTTGTCTATGCTGCTTCTGGCAAAAGTCCGGACAGTCCCAGCCGGTAGATCCGCGTATCGTCGCACAGCTGAACCTCCTCCGGAGAAGGTCTCTCTGTAGTTGCCGGTTAGCGTCATGTCGGGCGTTGTGGATACTAAATTGTACGACATCCTCGGAGTTTCGCCGTCTGCAAATGAAAATGAACTTAAAAAGGTACGTAAATGCTACAGTGAAATGAATGTTTTGGAGTTCAAACAAAATTGAAAAAAGAGGAAGAGAGGTCACCAGAGCAAATGTGGCCTACAAACAAGCTAATGGATGTTTAGCTAGCTTAGCCAGTAAAATGAGCTGGATAACAGCGGGATACATCACTGGACTTTTAAACATAATTTAAGCGACACATTGGCATTGAATGATTGCTTATAAGTGTTTCTAAATACGTGATAAGGATGAAGTTAGTCTCTTTGAAAACAGAGATAACACTGGTAAACACGAGTGTGATAGCTTGCCGGCTACTAATGCTAAATTCCAGCAAATAGTCCCCACCAACTCAGTAACGAAACATCACTCGCTAAATGAGACACTTAGCTTAATAAACTGCCAACCCCAGTGTAATACTTGATCATGCTTATCAGTATTGATGTTAGGCAACGCTATAAACAACGTGTGTGATGGTCACAAGCTAACGTTCATGCCACCATTCGTGCAGCTACATTAGCCAACGTCCAGGCGTTATTCCCTTTAAAATCCATTCAAACATCAAGCAGATGCTAATGGCTCATATTTGACAACTGCTGCGTCCTCTGAAAAACCCGACATAACACAACTTATACAGCTTGTGTATTCATCTTATTCTTGTCTCGTAATAAAGACCTTGTATTTCCGTCTATCGGGATTCAAAATAACGCTGGCAAGTCAAAAGCTGTTAATATTTGGAAGCAGTGTTGTTGAGTTTCTGACATGTTACATGCAACCATGATCATGACTATGTCCTGTTGTTTTAGACAGCAAGCTAATTGAAGCGTCTTGCTACAGGCACATGAGCTTAGGTCTGTGACCCAGCTTTCTTCACGCTGATATTTTTATTTTTTTTGGTTTATTACAGGCCTACCGCAAATTGGCCAAAGAGTACCACCCTGACAAGAACCCTGAAGCTGGAGACAAGGTATGATGCACCAAAACAGTAGTGTTAGCAACAGCACCAAAGGATGCTCAGTTGATCAACAATTGGGCATGCAGAAATGATGTCGCCTCCATTTATAATGATCACATAGCCCAGTGCTTTGAGGATTACTCCTAGGCACAGATCAGAGTACAAAATGTGACACAGGCTTTCCACTAGAGAAAAATGCTTTTTAAAAATATATTTATTTCTCTATGACTCAAATCTTAAAGCCTCTTTTAAGTTCTTTGTGCTTTGTAAAAGGGAACTGTTGTTGAGGTGCACTGAATTTATTTTCTTCATGCACCAGTTCAACCTGTCTGATTGTGCTTTGTTCATTTTCCAGTTTAAAGAGATAAGTTTTGCATATGAGGTATTGACAAACCCAGAAAAAAAGGAGCTTTATGACCGCTATGGAGAGCAAGGCTTACGGGAGGGAGGAGGAGGAGGACCTGGCATGGAGGATATCTTCTCTCACATTTTTGGTGGAGGACTGTTTGGGTTCATGGGGGGACAAGGAAGAGGACGCAATGGAGGCAGGAGGAGAGGAGATGATATGGTACACCCGCTGAAGTAAGTGTTGTTGTTTGATGGATGCTTCAGTGGATGGTGCATATGTAATGCAGTATGTGTACTTACAAATCGTGTTGTTACAGGGTTTCTCTTGAAGACTTGTACAATGGTAAAACCACAAAACTGCAGCTCAGTAAGAATGTGCTGTGTAGTGCCTGTAATGGGTGAGTTTCCTTTTTGTTAAAATTATATTGATTTGTAGTTTTAAGGCTGTCTGATGAATGATTTGCAGTTGCTCTAAATGGATAATAATGCTGATACTTTACTGTTGGCTTTTAGTCAGGGTGGTAAGGCAGGAGCTGTGCAGAAGTGTGTAGCATGCAGAGGACGGGGCATGAGAATCATGATTAGACAGCTGGCCCCAGGAATGGTTCAGCAGATGCAGTCAGTCTGCACAGATTGCAATGGGGAGGGTAATGTATCCCCACACACCTGCAAACTGACATTAAAAACAAAGTTAATGTACAAACCGCAGCAAAACAGCTCTCTGAGGTCTTCTATTCTGTGTGTGTGGTTGTTGTCCAGGTGAAGTGATAAATGAAAAGGACCGCTGCAGAAAGTGTGAGGGTCATAAAGTCTGTAAGGAGACTAAGGTTCTTGAAGTTCACGTGGACAAAGGCATGAGACATGGACAGAAGATCACATTCACTGGAGAAGCTGACCAAGCACCAGGCATGGAACCAGGAGATATAGTTCTGGTGCTGCAAGAGAAAGAACATGAGGTACCCCAAAACAGACAGCTCCTATTGATTACAAAACTGTTTTTAATAATAGAATAACTTGGATAATGAATAAAGTCTACATTTATCCAAGCAATTTGATGTAATGAACCTAAGCAACAAATATGGGTTTTATATCTCAAATAGGATTTCCGCCGTGATGGCAGCGATCTTCACATGGTTCATCGTATCGGCCTGGTTGAGGCTCTGTGCGGCTTCCAGTTCACAGTCACACACCTCGACGGACGTCAGTTGCTTGTTAAATACCCACCTGGAAAGGTCATTGAGCCAGGTAAACATCTTCCCTTTACTTTAATTTATTTTTTCTGTTATGACATTCTTTCTTTTTTGGTTGGACAGAAGGAAATTTATTGGATGAATACTTATGTTTTACTGCAAGTGTTGGTGCCAGCATTTATTTTTAGGACAGCATAAAAGAGAGAATATAAACATCTAATGTGAACCAAATTGAAAACAAAATTAGATTGTTTTAACAAGTCACCTTGGTGTTGTAGAATTTTCTGGTAATTTCTCAAGGTTGTGGTATATAATTAACTGTCTTGTGAAAAAGCTGTCATTGTTTCAAGTTGTTGAGAATACATATACTTTTTTGGGACATTTCAAACTTAACAATGTAAAATCTAACACTAGTTTTCTAAATAAACTTGTAACTATAAAACTGCATTTGAGTTAAAACTGTGGCATTAGCATGTATGATAAGCACAGACACATGTATAATCTAAGTCTTAAAATATCGTTTGCATGACAATTTTGACAACTTGCACCATAGTTTATATTATATTATATTATAAATTCCAGGTTCAGAATAAATATGGAAACCACAGGCTGTATATAAAAGATGGATGTAGCTTCCATGTCAGAAAAGTCGAAATGCTGATGTATAGTATAACTAATTTTGTCTAATGGGCAGCAGGGGGCGACGTCACTTGTTCCCAAAAAGAAGCCTGTTTATATTAGGAAATCAACCAATTAGCGAAGTTGAGCTATGAAATTTGTGATAAAGTTGTTTTGTTTTGGGTTTTCTTTTGGTGTCTCTAGTTTCAAATCTTACTTTTAACCATTCATTATTTTTAAAATTTTTTAAATGTGAAAATATTAGACCCTATCAGTAGGGGTGCAACGAAACTCGTATCGATATTGAACCGTTCGATACAGTGCTTTCTGTTCGGTACGCATATGTATCAAACAATGAAATTTTTTAAATTTATTTTATCAACTTTTCTTCTGACTATGCTGTCTGTGTTGACAGCTCAGTGGATCTGCGTTCGACTACTCCGCCTAGGCTGCACTGTCGAGCGCAGATCCACTGAGTGCAGCGCAAGCTAGCAAGACAGAAGCTAAGCTCGTTACAACATGGCAAATTGAGCCTCCCCCACCCTCATTCAGATGTGGCCTTTGGAACTATTTTGGTCTTCATGTGACGTATGACCCTGAAGGTAAGCGCGTCATGGACAAAAGTAAAACAGTATGTCGGATGTGCCACGCAATGCTCAATTACATGGGTGGGAACTACTGCGTTAGCGCAGTTTGCTCATTAACGGAGATTTGCCGTGTTGTGGCGTTAACGTCATTTCAGATTAACGCTGACAGCACTAGTGGGAACACAACGAATATGACTGCACATTTACGCCGACATCATCCTAGTGCAAAGACAAGTGGAAGCAGACAAAAACAACAAGCACACATGCTACAAACTTTACCCGAGTCATTTAGACAGCCGTTAGCACATGATTCTCCTTATGGGGACCTGATATGTTTAATATGCTGCTGAGAATATAGCCCAGAAGAAGCGTATAGTATAGCTTTTATTTTGGAAAGAGCCATTTCTCTGTAATAAACTCTCTTTTCCAAAGATGAGTGATTTCTCGATCAGATAGATTATTTTTTTTATTACTTTGTTGTTTCAGCAACATTAAATTTAAAAACTGTACTTTTGAGTTAAAATATATATTTATAATTTTAATAAATGACAAATTAAAAAGGCATGAACATTTTTTTGTATCGAAAAAATATCGAACCGTGACACCAAAGTATCGAACCGAACCGTGAATTTTGTGTATCGTTGCACCCTTACCTATCAGATTTGAAAGGACCATAAAGCACAGTATGGTTTAGGGCAAGCCTACCTATAGTAGGTAGTATACAAGTCCCTATAGTATACTGTGTCCCCTGGTTTCACTGTCGGATCAATCCCTCACTAACACAGCAACTGTGATAATGCTTAGTGCGAGAGATGATGTCAGTGGATGATATCACTGTGGCTAGATCCATCTTATATTTAGACTCTGTTGGAGAGCACATAGACCTCGCACTGTAGTGTACAATTGTTGTTGAATCTGTGTGCCGTTTCTCCTTTGTGTGTTTATGGCAGGCTGCATTCGAGTGGTGAAAGGAGAGGGGATGCCTCAGTACAGAAATCCATTTGAGAAGGGAGATCTTTACATTAAGTTTGAGGTCCAGTTCCCTGAAAACAATTGGATTAACCCTGAAAAGCTGAATGTGAGTTGCAATAGAGAAAACAAAAATCACAACTCGCAAAATGTTAGAGTGAATACAATGTCGTGATGGATGTTTGTCTTCTTTCAGGAACTCGAGTGCTTGCTGCCTGCCCGTGCGGAGACTCCCGTTATTGCAGCAGATGCCGAGGAAGTTGACCTAACAGATTTTGACAGAAGTCAAGGTTCAGGAAGCGGAGCCAGGAGAGAGGCCTACAATGATAGTTCTGATGAGGAAGGCGGTCATCATGGCCCAGGAGTGCAGTGCGCACACCAATAGAAAGACTACAGACTTGCACACACATAGAAGCATAAAAACACAAAAGTCCCATTGCTAACACCATTCAAGATTTGCGACTCATACATTTTCCTCCTCTCAAGACTCACATGAAAAGAGATTATTATATATATAATATATATATATTATATATATATATATATATAATATTATATATATATAAAAAATTTTATCTCACACAAAATTCCACCCCCTTCGTTCAGCTCCATGGTGCCCATAAGACAGTGATCCTGGATGTGTTATGATCATTTTATGTTTATGAACAGTAGTGCTCTTCAAAGCCAGCAGCAGGAAGGTGGCCCCATTTTCAGAGGTTTATTGAATTAACATGATTTAGATCCCTTTGTTTTCATCCTAAATGTTTAGACTCGTCTTTCCTATAATGAAAGGTAATGTATAAAATTCAATTTTTGTTGACTGTCTTGTAAAAGGTATAGTTTAAAATCTTTTACACACAAGCGCATGCTGCCGTTTGCTAAAGAGCTTGCCCGTGTAAAACTAGGGTCCAGACATTACATAAACATCTGGCACCACAGGTGTTTCAATTTCAGTGTGTCACCACTATTAAAGTGCCCTGCTCCCATCAGCGCTAACCTGATTATACGTGTCATATTTTGAAAATGGGATTTGCTGGTTCTGTTCAGTTCCTAGCTGCCACACACACATATTAAAGGCCTGACTAAAGTTACCTGCCTGCCAGGCACATTTGTTTTTTGTTTTGTTTTTTTCTCATATGTAAGCTGTTTTTTGTCTATGTAGGTGTGAATGATAAGCCCCTATTCAGACAGAGATAACATTCATTAATCTTTAAAGTGAGAAAATTATGCTGTGCAGATGTATAGCACTTTAGTTAAGGTTCTTTAATTGAAGACAAGTAAATTTTCGAATGTTTAGTTCTCTCCAATAGTGTAAAAAGGGGCAGGTTCTGTATTTGTACTGCATGGTGCTCCTTGGAGAGCTGTACCCTTCCCCTAACACATCCACCCAGGGACAAACATTTCTCTTCTGGATCAGGAAAAAAGCATCATATACAACTCTTCAAATTATAGTCGTTACTGATTCAAGACACATGCACATTCACAGTCTTGCCATTATTGAAGAGAGACGATCAATGTTCAGACATGAAGCCGACAAGTTCAGTTGATTAATGGAAACAATTGCATGTCTGAAGCGGGGGGTTAGTGTGTTTGAGACCTCTGAACTTGAAGTTTTGTGTTCATTTGAGTGGAGGTCAAACTTGTATACTACTTGTATGTGTGTTATGCAGTGGCTCAGTGTGTGGGAGCTGCTGTGGAATGTTCCGGCTTATTAGGGTGGTAGGTATTCCTGCTTTATATTGGACTGCAGTGTGAGTGGATATTATATAAAGTTAGGGAAGGAGAAAAAATGTTTATTTGCTGAGAATCTTCCCCACATGGACAGTTTTATTCTCACCAGGACTGAGAAGTTCTCCTGGCTTGCAGGAAAACCACTGAGCCTGCACCAAACCCTCTATGTTATACATATCTCCCTATTCTTGTTAGCCAAACCTTTGTCCCTCAACATGTTATAAGAGTCCCACCCCCATATACCTGTAAATAAATACAGTCCTACTCCACAGGTGCATTCAGAGTCAACAGCAGTGTCTTTCTTTAGCCACAACTTTTTTTCTTACATAATGGTAATAAATGTTATGTTCAGATGAAGAGAAGTTAATGGAGCCACTGTAGACTGTTATCACGCACCTCTGTGACTCATTGTGTATTTAATTTAGCCCACGGGATAGTCTGTACACAAGGGTCATTGGTAAATTACATTATTGTTGATGCTTATGGTTGTTGAGATTATGATTAAACTGTACAATAAATGACTGCAAGTTAATTGAGCTGTTCTGTTTTCATATGTACAACCTGTACTGGTTTCTGAGCATTCTGTATAAGTTTTGTTACAACCCCGAACAAAAGGAAATACTGCTGATAGAAAATCTGCACCATTAAACCTAAACACATTAGACAATTGGTGCCTCAATATATTCAAAATAAGAAAAGCGTACATTTGTTGGTATTTTTGTGACTGTGTTGTGACTCAGTCTTCTGCATCCTCCGTGTCTCTGCTCTGGAGGGCAACTGGACCCAGGAGTTCTTTAAACCCTGTGGTATTTCTAAAGGATTAAAAAATAGTGTTGAAATAAATGCGGTCAATATTAATTTGGTGTTGACTGGCAGATTCAAGAGGGTGTCATTTACCTATCTCTTTTAGACTGCATGACATAAGAGCGCTCTCTTCTGAGTTGCTCCAGACGCTCTTTCACAACAGTCTTCTGCTTGTTCTTATCTTCCTAAAAAGTAGACAATATGATGATAAGATAGCATGTTAATTCGTTGTTTTTTTTTTTTTTTTTTTTTTTAAGTATACAGTTCCTCAATATGTAGTTACCAGTGGTAGATCTTGAGTAAGGTGCTTTATCCTGTCTGTGTGTTTCAGGCCAAGCAGGTCTTCCTCTGCCTTTCTGTTCTGGATGATTGACAGGCGCTCCTGAACCTGAAAGACATGCTAACAATGTAACATCAATTCTGCTTTCATTTCTGAGTCATGAGCATGCAGTGTCCCTCTCTACACCTTGTCTCACCCTGAGCAGTTGCCTCTCTCTGTCTCTCTGTTGCCTTTGTTCAACTTTTCTTTGCATGTCCACTAGGTTGCGCATTGTCCTCTCTCTCTCCATTGCAGACACCGGTTCGCTCACTCGTTCTCTCTCCATCAGAGAAGCTTCCTTCTTTGCCTTACACTCTGACAGGCTACAGTCTACCTGGAACATGGTGGGAAAATAGCTGGTTGTATGTTTTAAATGAGAACCGATCTAACTAGAATATATCAAGACTACTCTTACTGTTTCTTCTGGACAGTATTTCTGCTCCTTATAGCGATCAAGTTCAGGGTCTGTCATGTCCCACTGCTTGGACTCTGTTTCCACCTCAGTCACATCCCTGTCAGCATTAGTTATGTCCTTGCATGTCCCATAGCAGAAGTTGTCTGCATGTGGGTTAGCTTCAGAGGAATCAGCCATAGGGTGTGGCTGTGCGGCTTCCTTGCTCTCTGCCACCAAAGCATGTGTTTGTAAGCCACATTCAAATACAGTTTCTCCTTCATTTGGTTGGTCGGCTGTTTGTCTGTTACTGAAGGCCAGCTAATAAGAATTCAGAAAGTGAACACATGAGTTCAGTGACAGTCACAGTGAATTACGTTCTGCTACACTCTTATGAAGTACCTCTTCTACTGTGCTGCACTGCTGGTTTGCAGACTGTGTGTCACAGTGATCTGGAGTACCAGACTTCAACCCAGTAGGTTTCAGCTCTTCTCCATCTCTCTCTTGATCTGACACATCACATTGTGTAGGCCGTGCTTGCGTCTTCAGACTTCTTGCACCATCCTGAATCTCTCCTGTACACCCATCTGCAGGCTCTGCTGCGCTGTATATGTCATCCTCTGGTGGTTTGCTCCAGGCGAGGGTGATTAAAGAGCCCTGTTTCTCACAGCTCTGGGGGCTCTTTAATTCACTGCCCTCTGCTTCCTCTTTGGCTCCTCCATCTGCAGCAAGACCCTCACGAGCATCTGACACACACAGGATCTCCAAGTAGGGCAGGTCCTCCATGACTGCTCCACAACCTGTTGGAGTTCAAAGCATATTATTCCCACAGTTTTAGGAATATGTTATTTTATTAGGATAATTAGTTATTAAATGTTTTTAATACCTGAACAGAAATCGTGTTTGTAAGTCCCATCCGCATTTTGGACTTCATTCACTACACTGTTGCTGCTTTTGCTTGAATCAACCGTCTCAGCTTCAGCTGATCCCCCACTCATGTTTTGGACTTCTGCCTGTCCAGTGTAAGAGGACTGAACTATGATTTGCTTGCTGCTGCTGGTTTCAGTAAAGTTTGGATAAGGATTTAACATAGAGCCTGAACTAAGGGGGGCATCTGAGATCAGGAGGTGGAGCAGGTTGCTAAAGCACTGAGCTTGAAATTCAGATTTATATTTATCCCGCAAAGCCTGGAGAAGCTGTGCATTCTAAACAAAGAGACAAGATGCACCACTATTAACATTACAGCCTTTTGTAGGTTTTCTTGCTTTGACTTGTATGTTGTGATTGCCTCGACTCACCCCATCCATCATCGCTTGCAGTAAAGCAGAAGCTTGGACTTCCTGAAGTTCTGTTAGATGGGTTAGAAGAAGCAGGGCACAGTCTTCCAGGAGAAGTTGGGACCATTCTCTGTAGGCCTGCACTTTGAGCTGGGCCATCGGTTGTGGTTCAGGGTTAGTTTGCTGTAGAGGGCTCTGAGTACCACTGTGTGCCTGCAACCAAGCATGAATTTGATGCAGCCTTTTAATACAGCCATTCCTCAAAGGAACTTGATGATGATTGTCTGTCGAGGAAACAGGAAAGAAGATAATGAAGTGGAGAAATGATGGAAATCAAAAAGAAGTAAATTCTAAATAAATTCTGCTGGGAAAAATAAAACTATTTATTACCATATTTTGGAGGCACTGTGAATGCTGGTGCCTGCACATCCTTTATGGAGATTCCATGTATTAATGTGATAAGTTGCTTCCTCTCCTCCTCTTGAGTCAGCACCAGCAGCTGCAGCACTGACTGCTATAAGTGGACCAAAAATGTAGCTCTATTACTTATAAAAGTAATGTTAACCCACTAAAAAAAATCATGTATATAATCTGAGAGCAATATTATAACAGGAGTTTGCTGTCCACAGTCTGATTTGTAATACCTGCTCTATTGTCTCAAAGTCATACTCTTTCTCTTGTGCTTCTCCATGTAGCCACAAGGAGGCCTGCTCTGCTCTACGTGGACCGTTAACATGTGGCCTGAATGGACAGACAGTACACAAAGGATATGAAAACTTGATGATTGTGAATACAAACTGTTGTATACTCTGAGTGTTGTTTTGGCTCACCATGTCTCCCAGGACTGGTGAGCAGCCAGAAGAGCTGTATAGGAAAGTTTCTCTCTCTGAGCTCTAATAGTTGCCAACCTGACGTACAGACACAACAGTTTCAGGCTCTCCCCATGGAGCCTGGAAGATAAAAGATTGATGAATCAACCCTTTCCCTCTCAGGGTTTCATGGTGGTATTTCCCCCCAAAAAACTCTCTTAAGTCAAATGTATGAAACTACTTGAAATAATTTACCTCTCATGCAGGACTGTAAGTGCATCATGTTCTTGTTGACAAAATTTGTGCAACTCATTCAGAAGAGAAACGGCAGACCAGAACTGCTCAGGACAACTTCTAAAAGATGCACTCATACAGGCCCTGAAGGGAAATAAGCTTTACCATGGTGCTTTGGCTTAACATGAATCAAACTAAATGTTTTCCATCCATAATACAGACATAATACAAATATATGAATGCCATCTTAATAGTAGACCCTAAAGTGCCAGTACGTATGGATGTGAGTGTGAATCGTCTGTCGCTTTTTGTTCTCCCTGTGCTGAACTTGTCCAAAGTGTATCCTGCCTGTTGGCCTATGCCACCTGAGATGGGATCTATCCCTTTTCAACCCTTTAGTTAAATAAGCAGTCAGGAAAATTGATGGATCTACAAATGAACCCATCTGTTTTGATAAACCATTTTCTTTGCCGTTACGTGTGCTATTTAACAAAGTTGTTTATGCACATCCTTTTTTAGTTTTTGGATAACACACTGACTCCTTATATCCCCGACCAGTGGCAGTGTAGCCAAGTTCAAACACTCAAGCAAAGTAGCAAAAACATGATCTATGTGTGTTACTTGTACATCCTGAAAGCTCCTGGCAGCTCAGCTAAGCTGAGCATATCAACAGATGCCAAAGCTTCATCTGCACGATCCTCCAACTGTTCTACTTCCTGATGCTGTTGCCATGTCGGCATCATCTCCCAGACGCTCTTAGCTGTGGATCAACAAAGAAGTAATGACAGAAACATGAAGCATCCAAAGCAGACTCCTTCATTGTGATTAAGGTGTACTTAGGTGACAGTGTAGAGGAACATTTCCTTACTATGGTGCTCCTGAAGCATTTCTGTATACAGCAATTGAGTGACCACATCATACTTGACATCCACCAAGAGGAGGATGTCTGACAAGGAGACATGGCCCCACGCCTGGCCTGTAATCCTTTGACTTTGGTTCTGCCATGTAGAGGGCAGTATGCTCCACACACCCTGTGATGCCAATCTTAGTAGAAGCAGACACATTAACAACATAGCTATTGCAAGTAAGCACTTCACTATAAAGGGGTGGTTTGTAATATTAGAAAACTGTATATCTCTGAAATGCTCAGTTGCTCCTTAATACTCAGGTTAAGTAATATTGAATAACCTCTGAAAGATAAAACATCCTCCTTAGTAAAAAGCTGTGTGAACTGGCAATACAATTGTTGCTCACATCAGTACACCCAGTTAAGCTTCAGTCACCGAGTTGTTTTCTACTTGCTTTAGCGATTTGTTGTGCTACATGCAAACCACAATTTAATATTATTGAATAATGCACAGATTTGCCACAAGGACTAGGGTATTAAAGAAAAAGCAGTTACGAATTTTGCTCCTTTTAGGTTCTTTAATCTTTGGCTTTTCACACATGCAACACAGTAATCTGGGTGATGTGGCTGTAAGTCTAACAACCGTGTACTATGTGGTTCATACATACACACAATAAAAATCAATACATGTACAAATTTAATATTAAAATAACACATTTTGCTATAAACTGAGTAACTTCTCACCCTCAATAAAAGATGCTCACCTAGCCCAGTACTGCCTGGCTGCTTTTTTGAGCCTTTTCACACATGTCTTTTTCCCAGAGAACTCTTTCCCCCCTCCCCATCTTCCGATCTGCGGAAAGCAAAAGAGGGCAAATAATGAACTGCATTAATGCAGGAGAAAGTGTACAGTTCTGCAAGTACATACCTGTACCAACCTGCTGTAGGGATCCTAAATCTGAGGTGTATGCCTTTTTGAAAGTATTAAGGTCTGTATTCTGGAGCAGGGAATCCATCGTGTGATGAAAAGCATTGGGATTTCCAGTATTTAGTAGCAGGAGGTCCCAGTATAGCTGAAGATAAGAGTATTTATAAGAGCAGTAGTAATAATATTTTGATTATGGAGTTAAGCTACGATATTATCATATTAAAGAAGAAAAATTGTACCATTTCCTTCTTTTCCCTTTCCCTTTCCATTTCTAAGAGAACATCCAAAACATTTTCACCAATACAGGTCCAGCTACTGTCTCCTCCTGCAATCTGAAGCACAAACAGCCCCATCGTAGTACTCTGTTACTATTTGTTTGTTTGTGTTTGTGTCTAATTATGTGTGAGCTGGTACCTTCCTCATAGCCGTATGTGCTTCAGTGATGTTGGAAGAAAAATGAAACACTTTGCTGTAAAGGAGACTCACATCCTCAGGGGTAAACTCTGCGCCAACAGACATACCTAGAGACTGGTAAAGACCAGCAATGTAATCCTGAAGCAAAGCACATGGTTGTAATTACATTTATTTTCAGTTCATTCAATTCAACCTTGTACATACAAAAGGAAAACAAATGCATTTCTCACACAGCCACAGCAAAGTATCCTACCTGCTCCATGTTTTCAGGTTGATAAATTATGCAGCATATTACTATGGTTACGGCAGTCCTCTGGGAAACAGCTGGATCAGCTTACCAGCAACAAAAAGTGACAGTGTATCTGTCAGAGAGTGAAAGGTGATACATGACCACGTGATGCTTTACACCTGAGTGTAGTGCTCTGTAACATTTAACACGTAGTGAAAGTCAGTGGCTCCATGCCTTTTAGTGTTGTGTTGTCTTTATTTTAAAGTCTGTGGTGTCAAATGATTTATTTACTTTATTTTTAAGGCATACAAAGTCCTAGTATGTGATTTAGGCTTCTGTTCTCTTCAAAAGCTGTATGGTGGATCAACTTTTTTAAAAAAATAACTAACCATTTTGGGTTTTATTAAGCCTTAAATGTAGGGGTGTGGGTGCTGTGATTGACAGGTATGCCTTCCTGGGTCTCACCTCTGTTTGCAGAAGTTTATGCTCCAGTTTTGTTGTGTAGAATTCTAGTATTTTATCTGTATGATACTGCTATACTATTTGCATGATTATCAATAATTAAAAGGAATCTGCTTCCATGTGATGAACCCATATACTTATATATCTTGTTTAACAAGCTTACTAGTTATCTGATAGCTTAGCACTTAACCATTTCACCTGTTGAAACTTCAAATTGTCCAGAGTCCAGAAAATAATAGATGATGTCATTGTGGCTACATACAACTTTTATATACAGACTATAGTGTTGTAAAGTGGCTGTGTTTCTTTGTCTTATTGTAGAAAAACATCACTGTTAAGAGGAAAACAAAGGGATATGAGCCGGTTTCTTTTTTTGATTTGCTTAAAGTTATGACATATCTAGGGAAAACAGTGTTTTTTTACAAAGCACCCTGGACCATGGACAATTTAGAGAAAGAAGTGAATGTAAACATGCCTGGCCAGCTCTCCCTAAAAAAAAGAGAGACCTCAGTGGGATTTCTTGGTCAAATAAAGGTAATAATAATGAGGTGGTTAGGTCTATAAGCAGTTGATCATTGAGAATCACCTTGAAATAAGCTGATTTATTATTGAAAACTGCTTACCATATTTGTTGAATTGTAAGGCTATTTCACATATTTTGACATGTGTAGCTGCCCTGATGTGTACTCACTAAAATACACTCTACTCAAATAAATACAATGTGTGCAGAAAGGACAGTGTTGCCAAATGGGTGATTAAATATCAACATCAAGTTTGTCTCTGAACACAGAAAAAGAAACAACAGAAATATTAGTGAAACTTTTATTTATAAAATGGAGAAGGAAAAGATTACCTGAGATTATATGGCTTCCTGTATGAACAGTCAGACATTGCACAGTGCTAAAAATGTAACCTGCATAATAAACAACTTTAAATAATTGCTAATACTGTTAAAGTAAATGTGTGAAACAAACTAGGTATGGAATTAAATATTCAGTGTTACAATATTTATAAAAACCAACAAACACAGTATGTGGAGTCCACAGGTCATGGAGGTTCATCTGGAAATGACCATATGGAAAAGATATAAATCTTATAAAGTTTTTATCTGTCTTGTATGAAACTTGTATGAAAAGCATACAAGAGTGAAAACGCATATAAGATCCCTTGAAAAATTATATAATGAAACTTGTATGTTTTGGATACTTACTAAAAAAATATATGAAAGTAATGAGAAAGTAGCCACTTTCATGAGTAAATCATGTAATCCTTATATGATTTATATATGATTTACTCATGAAAGTGGCCACTTTCATGAGTAAATCATATATGTTTTTACTATTTCTTTTCCATATGGGTGTTTCCATTGTATACAGTAACATGGGGCTGATGCAGTGACAGTGCATGTGTGTGAAATTATAAGTGAGTGTCCACTTATTGAGTAACTGTGGCATTTGAGGAGCTGCCATGAATGATCTTTGGACACTTCTCTTGTGGTATGCAGTAGTTGTTGTGTAGGACCAGACCAGCAGGACACTGACATCCTGGAACACAGGGCTTGAAACAGTGGCTTTCTATCACTCCCAGAGGTACATCGACATTAAAGCAGGTTACAGGACAAGGGGGGCCGCACTCATCAAACACAAAGCCCCTCTCCACTGGGCAGCCCACAGCTGTGGAAGACAGGAGCAAAGAAAACACTGTGAGCACTACAGCTTCAAGCATATGTCTTATTTTGACCTTTACTGATCCTCAGCAGAAATTTCCGGGTGGCTGACAGCAGTGAGGCCAATGGCTGTTTATTTTTAATTCAGAATGAATCATATTGCATTACTTCCTTATAACATTAAGCAGTTTATGTCATGGAACGCCGTGTGGCAAGCAGACTGTGGACCCAGAGGCAGGACACAGGAAGAGAAATAAAATCAAAAACTCAGCTTTGCTTGCTGGCAAATTACAGAAATTACACAAACCAAACCGAAAAATAGGACTCTAGGAGAACACACGGACAAGAGAGCGCACAGCAAAAGGGAGGACGTGACAAAGAACACATTTTAGTCAAAATAGCCAAGAGGAGATTAGAGCAAACAAGATGAGAGACTATCAAAATAAAACAGGAAGTAGCAGAACATGAGAACAGAAACACAGACCTGAAACAAAGACAGAAAAGGAAACAAACACAAAGAAGGAAACACCAAGGACAAAACACAGGGATGAGGTTAGGACACACATGGGAACATTAAGAAGACAGGAATACACAGAAACTCAGGATATAAAACATGAACTGAAACCAACTGAAAACTAGACAAGACCCAAAATTTAAAAAGCTGGGCCCGTGACAGTTTAAAGTTGGTTATGAAGCTGACAGCTGGTTGCCGGCATGCACGCTCGATGTGAAATGATAATATACATCCTAGAGTATATTTGCCACTTTCTGGTGATTTACTCACCACACAGAGACGCGCTCCTCCACTGCACGATGACTCCTGCTGCTCTGCACTGGCTCGCGTAGGCCTCCAACGTGTCACAAAGACAGTCATCAGTATTTGCACCGCAAGCACAGAGGTCGTAAACACAAGCTCCGTACCACTGTTCAGGAGGCACCACGGGATGACAGGGCTTAAAGATGGCAGACTTCAGGATTTTACAGCGAGTGTTGGCCCCCTTCTTGGCCTGGTAGCCTGCATCCTTACAAGGGTCAACATTCTCGCCAGGACGACAGGAGGAGCGGAAATGGGTACCATTTGTGACCTTAAATGACAAAAAGTTATTTCATTTGCATGCGGTCAAAATTAGTGATAAGCTATGTATTTTATAGAGTCTCTGTATTACTGCTGTGTATTGATTTTACCCTCCAGCTGTTTCCAAATTCAGACTCAGATAGGGTGATTCGTCCATTTGGCATCCGGAGGTCATCCTGGTAGTAGTTGTTGAAGTTTCCACAAAGTCCACAGGTGTGGCCCTTATAGGAGCCTGGCACACTTACTTCTACATGTGAACGAGGACTCCACAGCACCTAAGGTGGGCGAGTGGATGTACCAGTTTGTTACAAAACTGGGAGTGACCAAATTTGTGAGAAGGTAAAGAGACAGAAAAACAAAGAGTACTGCACCTTCAGACCAATGTTAGTGTTGAGTAAAATTGTGTTGGTTTGCCGTTCGATATAGATGTATGGTTCCCTGAGAAATGGCAAAGTTACAGCCTCATCATTCACCTGGATAAAAGAGGAGATGGATGAGTGAATGCACTAAGCATAAAATTCACTGGGTAAAACCCTTTATGGTCTATTTACATACAAACCTTCACAATCCAGTCCTGCAGTAGCTGCACTGTGACATCACCCAAAAACACAGTAACCTCTTTAGTCCAGGACACTCCTTTACGTCCACGATCATCATTTGTAGCATGAACACTGTAAAAACAAAAATGTGCTTTCTTGTTTTGTTACTTGTTACCTTTTAGCAAAATTTTGTGCTTTAAATACAATAACAATGCATCTATTTTCTGAAACACCTCCAGTTCCAGCCAGCTAGGATGTCCAAGACTATTTTTTCTGTGAGGCAATGATGGCAACTGCACCTCTTGGGGAGGTACTTCATATCATCAACCTCAACACAGAACCAGTACTGTTCTGGTTTGTTTGAACAGAAAAAGAATCTCTTTTTCATTAGTGCTGTCAAAATTAACGCATTAATGCAAAATAATCCACCATCATGCTCAACGCGTTTATAAATTTTAACTCGATGAACACATCTGGAGCACACAATGACTCAAAATACTCAAAACGATTCTGTCTATGTATGTATATATATATATTAGCGCCACCGAAAATTAACGAGTTAACGCGAATTAATCCCCATTGCGATTAAAACCTTTAACGCAATTAATGCGTTAAAGGTTTTAATGCGGAGAAGATTGAAGAAAACTATTCAAATTCTATTTGAATTTGAATTTCTTGTTTATTCTACATTTACTTTATTATATTGCATAAATGTCAGTTAGAAGCTTAAATATAAAGCTGAAAAAAATCAAGTTATCAGGATCAAGTAATTGTGATTAATCGCAATTAATTACAGATAATTGTGAGATTAATTTGTTAATTATTTTTAATCTATTGACAGCACTACTTTTTATACAATTAATTATTATAGCTATTGTTTGGGATGAATATCACCTGAAATCTCCACTCTCACAATCCTGTGTCAGGACATATGTGCACGTTCCCTGGAAGTGCAGCATGCGGCCATCGAAGGTCCGGTAATGAGGATCGCCAAAGGCACTGCAAGTAGCTGGACGAGGAAGGCAATGAGGACAACACAAACCTGGGATAACTGCAGGCATCTCATCCTGGCAGTAAAACACACAAACAGACTGTGTTAACACTGGCTGTGTGAGAATATGATGAACCTAAAATGATTTAAAAAACAAAAAGTCTGCAGTGACAAAATGTGCTCTGTGAATCTCTCTTCTT